TGTCAAATACCTGTAGCATATATCCAATTTAAAAAATTCCACCAAATATTTGTAGCATAAATCCAACCTTTATAAACTGAGATTTCAAATGCATGTTACTTGTTACTTTTTAATTTTCTTAAAGCTACCTCACACAATAAAAGAAAACCATCAGAGATGTTCACAAAGTATTTTAGTAGGACTAAAGTTACTGACTTCCAGCAGACACCAGTAAAAACAAATACGGAACTGTAAAATGCACAACTGTGATCAAAACTGAAGGTCTCTGTGCAACCTGGACTTCAAACTGGTGAGCTTTGGCTGGCTAGAAGGACTTATTAATGTAATGTTGGCTGAAGCGCATCATGATAAAAAAGTCTGTTTCACCTTTCTGTTCCTTTTTAATAACAGAAAAAAAAACCCCACAGTGATAGTGTTAGCATGAGCATATAGAACTGACATAAATTCATGTCTAAAATGCACAAACTGAATTTGTAGTAAAATCAGCAAGAAATTCATACCTTATTGCTTATAGGTATTACTTAGTTCTTAATCTTTGCAAAGAATAAAGTATTTGGCTGGGATCTTTATAGCTGACAATTTTGAAGACTTGAATTATGCTCCCAATTGTGCTAAAAATGTGATAAAGGGAATTAGTTTTATCAAACATCCAAGGAATCGATTTACCTGTGAGAAGGATACAGCAGAGATATGTGCAAAGGTTTATTTACTTCCAAGTCACAAAGAATATTCATTACAACAACAAGCAGTTACTATACCCCATTGTTTCTTCTCATGCATGTCTCATTACTCCTTAAATTTTTTTCTAAGTGTGGCAATCTGCTGAAAATCTTGACCATTAACCTCAAAACTGTAATGCTTGTCAAACTGCAACATGAAATACTTTTAAAAAGCATACTTTTCCTTAGCTTCTCTAGTCTTAGAACTAAAAGATTAAAGTGAAATAATTTTTAACTCCCCATTAAAAATTAAAAATGACAGAGGAATAGTCACATATTGACTAGTTACATTAGGAATCAGACATTGCTTGCGGCAGTTTCATTACAGCATTGTGTCATTTAACACTGATTAAAAAATGTTTTATTGATAATTCCATCTCTTTAGGTAACTTTCACTGAATGCATCTCATCTCTTTTATACCAGCTTCAAATCCAGTTTAAAGTTGGCTGCAGTTCATTTCCAAGTAACTTCCTAAAAGGAGCCCAATCCCTTAATCCTTGCTTATACAGAAAATCGCTGTTTACACAAGCCACATCACTGACTCCAGTAGGATGACTCACGCCATAAAGGTTGGTCTGAATTAGACTAATCCTCCCCGCCCCCTTTTTCTTTTTTTTTAAAGAATTTTAAAAGACACAGAAGAGCTAACATGTCTCTATCTAGTCTCTGGCATCTACCAAGAACACCAAACAAAAGAGGCAGACTACCTGGCAAATACCCTTTGTACTTCCCGATGAAAGTGAGATAGTCAATATCTCTAAGTTAGAGATAGCAAATGTTTCTGAACCGAAGGGGGAACAAGTTTTCTTCACTACTAGGTACAACAGAAACTTTAGTATTTGAAAATCTAAGAGAGTGATATACTGATACAAACAGCGTGTGAAATGAGCCAGCTATGCCTCGGAGATTAGGCAGGAAGAATGCACAGGTCCATTTCATTGTTTCCAGCAGAACGAACCCATCTCAGTTTACATACCCAGTCGCTACGGAGGCCTCAGGACCCTACAGACACAACTTCGGTGAAAAAACTTTTTTAAAAACTAATGGAGTTGTCTTTGAAATCCTCAAAGAGGATCATACGTCCCATTTTCATGTTACTGTATGGTTAGTAACCATACCTGTTGATCTCATAACGAACATCTCTTTCGGTCTTAGATTCTTAAAAAGTATTCGTGGCTTTAATTGCCAGCCTAATTTGAAATCTAAACCAAGTAATGCAAGTGAAAGAAAAAAAAAGTTTGTACACAATTATGAGGCAGCAGGCTTTTTTTTCTTTCCAGCTTGTTTTTAAGATTATGCTTTCTCTCTCTTTTCCATGGCCTTGACTACGATAGAAATAGACTCAATTTAGCAATCTGTGCAGCCTGAAATTTCAGGGTAAAGCTAGATTAGCTCATCTTCTTCAAATGCTTACAGAGCCCTGTCATCGTGATGGCAGCTGTGCCAATTGCTAGCTACCAATATCTGCATAGGAAAGGCCTGAGAAAGAACATGGAGCGGTGTTAATCCTGTCACGGCAGAGATACATGTTCCAAACTATAAATCTAAATCTGCCTTCTAGTAAGCATGGCCAGAGCTGCCCGAGCTGGCTGCCCGCACTCAGCCTTGGTGATATTTTGGTGTGTAGTATGCTATTGAGGGCTGCCAACTCGTAACAGCGTGCCAGGTCTTCATTCAGTCACTTTGTAGCACTGATTAAGAAAAGAGGAAAGGAAAAAATTAGAAATCTCAGAAGTTGCGGTTGGTGAAGTAAAGCATGCAGAAATAGTTTTATTTCCTATAAACTTGGCAAAGTAAATTGGTTCTGCATTTTTTTCAATAATTCACATAACTGCTTGGGATTTGTAGTTTCTAATTTAGATTATACTTGTCAATAAATGCAATTCACTGACAAATAACGTTTCCAGTGTTGTGGCCACAAAGGCAAGTAACCTATTGGCCCACAATATGAAGGCATAAATGCAAACATTTTGCAAAACATGATAGAGCAAGCTTTTTGGCTGGACTCTGGAAAATGACTGCCTTGAAATTAGTTGTTAGGTACATACTAACAACACCTAAGAAACACAAGAAAGACTAATCATTGAAAGCTGTGGATTCTCTGTCTTTTGCCGTCTTCAAAGTAAGATAAAATGCCCCTTGAGAAATATGCTTTAAGTAAGTGCAAGTTACTGACCTCAATTCAGAGAAACAAGGTAATATTTAATGGCTTGTGCTGGCCAGACTAGATGATGCTATGGGACTTCTGGCTTTAAGTTCTAAAAACTGGAACTATATTCACCTTCTTAAATACTCCAAAGACTCCTCTCTCTTAAGAGAAACAGCCTTTTTTAAAAAGTCAGGTCAAAGACACTGCCCTGGATTAGAAAAGGCCTGAGCAGGGAGTTGTCTTCATTAACTATCTCACTTTCAAGTCCGAGGCTGTGGAGATGCCCAGGGCTGGTAGAGCTACCTCTGTCAACAGGGCCGGCAGCGACTGGGGGCTGCTGTCATAACGTGAAGACTGGCCCCTTCTGCTGGGCCCCATGCTGGGCTAGCTGGTTTTGTGATCATGGTCTATCCAGGCCAGGAAGAATATCACTTAATATAAAGGCAAATCAATTATTGTTGGTGAAAGAGAAAGACGAGCAAGCCAGCTACCCCTCCTCTGCCCAAGATGACACAGCGTGGGCAGTCTTCACTGGAGCGTGGCAGAAAGGATAACATGACATCGTCTCTGACCTCACCTGGCCGCTTTTGGCCACCACAGCCAGTCTCACAACGCAAATGTCCACAGAGACGCGTGTCCCCCTGCAAGGGGCAGGAGGAAGGGGAAGGTTTGGCTGCCGGGCCCCAGCTGCGGGTCACACCCGCCGCGGCCGAGGCGGCAGCACCCTTCTCCTCCCAACCCCTTGCCGCTACAGCCCGCTTCTTTCCCGTGGACTTGACTGCCCTCTCCAGTCAGCTCCACGCAGCAGCACAGCCACCCTTTTGCAAAGTCCGTTCCTTTTTGTTTACGCTCTAATAAAACCGCTTTAATTGTGCCCCCAGAAGTTCTTCTTGGGGTGTGGGCATTGCTCCTTGTGTGGGGCACTCCTAGGCACTTCTGCCGCAAAGCTCGGGCCTCCTCAGGATCTCAGCACAACCTTTCGACATGGATTTGCAGGCAGGCAGGAACAATTTGCGTAGAATGTTCCAAAGAGCAAGAAATTAAGTCATGGGCTACAAAAAAATATGTCGAATTTTAGAAATTTCTGCCAGATACCAAGACGCTGTAGGTGGAGCCACACACACTTTTCCCCTGCATCAGCAAAGCAACCAGGCAACTGTATCATGGAGGTGCTATTCCATGTAGCCTGCCTCCATGGTTTTTATAGGCAGCCTCCCAGCAACAGTTTTACCACTGCAGGGATTTCTTACCAAACTCTCCTGTAATCTCCACAGAACACCTCAGCAAAAAAAGCACAGTGCTTTGGGCAGGAATAGCTGGGAATGCAATACGGAGACAGGGAAACAACAGTCTCTGGACAGAACAGAACTAACGCGAACACATGCAAAGTCCAGCTCCTCTATAGCGACCCTTTTCTGCAACACAGGGCTCGTGCTGGGAAAATGCCAGGCCTTGCTGCATTAGTTGTTGAAGAAAACAGCTTTACAGGCACATCATTAACACACAGTTAAAAGAACAGCTGTATTTAGCCTTCAGGCAAGGAGAGAGAACAGCACAGTCAACATTTCTCACTCTTTATCCTCTACCAAAGGTCAAAGTCACTGTCAAGCAAACAGGTAGCAAAGCTCTAAGGAAAGCATGAGACACCCCCCCCCGCCCCCCCAACATTTTTTTCTGTGGGCACCTTTCCCAAGGCCCTAGTGACTTCTTTGGACAAGCTCATCACCGAGTCCAAAGTCCCAGAATGGCATAGAGTAGAAAATGCTGGATCATTAAATCGCATTAAATCAGTAGTTTTCTAAAGGGAAGGTATTATGTAGTATTCTAAGAGAGTCTCATATATATACATATATAATATAGCATTGTATATATGCATATTTATATGTAATTTTTACCAGGAGTGTTTCAAATAATTTATTGAATACAAAGCATGGATCTCAACATGCTTTATAACCAGTTAAATCTCATAAACACAGGAGAAATTAACTTAGACCCTTCTACCTCCTCTTTTAGTTTTTGCCTTAGGTTGAGGGTCATCTAAGGGCATGATGTGCCTAGGCTTGGGCTTCCCCAGCTCAGCTGAGACCTTCTGGACCTCCAGGAGGCCTTCCCAGCCCTTTGGATTCCCCGTCCTCCCAAAGACTGAACTGCTCAGTGACAGAAGTGTCACTACCCGTTTATTTTAGCCCGGCAGCGAGAACTACCGCCAGCGTGCAGCCTGCAGGCGGGCTGTGCCAGCGATACCGTGCACGTTTGTACCCGAGGCAGCGCCGGGAGCTGGCTGGGGCCCGGCGGCAGTGCGCCTTTCCACCGCCGCGTCCCCCCTTCGCGGCTGTTGGCCCTTTCTGCCGCGAGGGCGCAGTGCCGGTCTGACTACGGGCGCCGTTCCCCCCGCGCAGCTGGGACGCGAGGGGCGGCCGGGGGAGGAGCGCGGAGCCACGGCAGGGGCCCGAGGGCCCGGCCCGCGGGGGGGCG